TACAAGTGAACTACTACTAATTCACTTGTTATAGTTTTGGAAGACCCATGTTATTTTTTAAAAGATTTTGCATAAGAGGTTGTAAGCATGCATTCAATTGGTATGAGCATATACACACGTGGGCAGAGCAGCTTACACCAAAGCCATTATCATGGCCACACACCGATAGTCACACCCCAATTATTTGGATCCTCTTACCTCAAAGGGTCTGAGTCTTGATCTTCTTGGGAAGCATGGGTGTTCTCAGCTCACTGGTAAAAATAGCATATACTCTGTGTAAAGACCAGTGGTTTCTGTATACACATTGTCTCTAACCCCCAGGCCAGGAACCGGTACTAGTTTGTGGCCAGTTAGGACCCGGGCCCCACCGCAGGAGGTGACTGGTGGTGAGCAAGTGAGGCTTCATCTCTATTTACAGCTGGTCCCCGTCACTCGTGTCACTGCATAAGCTCCGCCTCCTGCCAGATCTGCAGCGGCTGGAACCCTACCATAAGCTGTGCATGCAAAGGATCTAGGTTGCACGCTCCTTATGAGAATCTAATGCCTGATGATCTGAGGTGGAGCTGAGAAGGTGATGCTAGCGCCAGGGAGCGGCTGCAGATACACATTATCATTAGCAGACAGGTTTGACTGCACGATAAATGTAATGCCCTTGAATCATCCTGAAACCTTCCCCCACCCCTGGGGCCATGGAAAAATGGTCTTCCATGAAACCAGTCCCTGGTGCCAAAAAGATTGGGGACCTCTGCTGCATACGATCTCAGCTGGGGGAAGGCACTCATTAAACTCTTCAGGCAAAGAATTAAACCACTATTTGTGGAGAAAACTTAAGACCTGTGGCAAAGGCACAAATGGGTGAATGATTTCATTATTGACCTTGATGTTCAAAAGTGACTCATGAAGTTGCCTTTCATAACAACAGTATCCTTTTCAAGAACAGTCTCATTCAACACAAAGGCAAAAGTATTCTTAAATTGCATTTGATTTGATCACAAGTAGAAAGAAGTTTGAGAGTTGGATAAAGACAGTCGATTGTGGGCACTGTGAGTCATTTAAGATTCTCTCTTTATCTGCAACCAGAATGACAGCATTGCTGGTAAAATAAAGAACAGTGTTGCTCGTCATCTTTTATCATAGAAAAAGCCACTTTCACCAATGTTCCCTGAGATGGTAAAAGAGCCCAAAGAGGCTCCTTCAAACCATGACGTGACACGAGCAACGTGACCTCTTAACAAAGACACATTTGTTGCGTTTGCATCGCCTGAGTTTCAGTAGCCTGAAAACATTCTGCTACCTTCTGAGTGTGATCCAGGCATCTCTCCTCGGTAGCTAGACATTTGTTAGGCTGTTAAAAAATTGTAGCCCTTATATTTACGTAAATCTGTGTTTATAAATATTATGGCAGAAAGAGACAGTGCCTCGATGGCGAATGTGTTATAATGTGTCCCCTTCGTGGCCTGGGTGGCTCTGAGTCCCTGAATCAGCGTTCTGTCCTGCTGAAGCAGCCACGGCCTTTACCACGTGGCTCCATTTCCCCTGTTGTGTCCTGTTTCAAACTCGCATCAGCAGGTCACTCAATGATCGCTTCCTCCTTACAATACAGTTCAAGGAGCTCTTATTGACCCAGGAGTTCTCTGCAAAGTGCTCCTTAAAGTCTTCTTTGGCTGTATTCCAAGTTTATGTGGTTAGTGCTTAATAAAGGTTCCCTGCTGAATGTCGTTCACTGCTTTGTCTTGCGGGCTTTCCAATTCTGGGTACCTGGGCTCTCGCTCCAGTTTTTGAAGAGTCTTCTTTTCATTGTGGCATTCTCTTTGACTTTGTTGGTTTTGAGTGCCTGGTATTTTTGGGTTTTGGTACACTTTTTTCCCTGGGTTCCCAGTAACTGGCCATTTAAATAGTGTCTGGGCTCCCTGTGGGTTTTTTTCCTTTTTAAAAAAATCTTGTAACTCTTTCTTTACTTCTTTTCTCTTAACTAATGTCACATAGTATCAAATTTCCCTTTTCTCCAGGGATATTTTTGTTTTTCCCTCTCCCTAGGGGAGTGGGGTAGAACTAGGGATGGAGTTGGGTGGTGCTATGGTTTGAATGTTTGTTTCCTGCAAAACTCATGTTGAAATTTAATCCCCAACATGACACTATTGGGAAGTAGGGCCTTTAAGAGGTGATTAGGTCATGAGGCCTCTGCACTTATGAATGAAATTAATTGATCCATTCATGGATTAATGGGTTATCATGGGTTTGCACAAATGGCTTTATAAGAAGAAGAGAGACCTGAACCAGCACACTCTACCCCCTTGCCATGTGGTGCCCTGGGCCACATCGGGACTCTGCAGAGTCCCCACCAGCATGAAGGCCCTCACTGGATGCACCTCCCCACCACCTTGGCCTTCTCAGATTCTGTAACTATAAAAAACAAATTCCTTTTCTTTATAAATTACTCAGTTTCAGGTATTCTGTTATAAGCAACAGAAAGTGGACTAAGAAGAATGAAGAGAACATTTATTACATACACAACGCAGACTTTTTATATGATTTTACTTAATCCTCATACATGCTTATGCCCAAGATTATAATAGCCAATATTTATTGAGCATTTGCCATCTAACTAAAGACCATGTTTTGTGCTAACTGACTTGTGTGCACTGTCTCATTTGAGTCTCATGGCAACTCCATAAGGTAGATTATACTATTTCACTAGATTGTACTAGATGATACTATTTAATTATGCTAGATTATGCTATTTCAATAGATTATTCTATTTTATATTTTTTTGAGACATGTTCTCACTATGCTGTCCAGTGTGGACTCAAACTCCTGGTCTCAAGCGATCCTCCAGCCTCAGCCTCAGTCTTCTGAGTAGCTGGGACTAGAGGTGTGAGCCACCACCCCTGGCCTTATTTTCCCCATTTTAAATGTAAGCAGATTCAGAGAGGCCAAGTAACTTGCCCAAGGTCACAGTTAGTAAATGGCAAAAGTGGGCTTCACATCTAGTCCAAAGTTTCAGCAGCTATGCACACTGTTAAAAAGTGCCCATCAATGGATGAATGGATAAAGAAAAAGTGGTGTGTATATACAATGGAATACTATTTGGTCATAAGAAAGAATGAAACCCTGTCATTTGCAGCAACATGGATGGACCTGGAGGTCATTACGTTAAGTGAAGTAAGCCAGGCACATGCTGCAGACAAATATCGCATAGTGCATATGTGGAAGCTGAAAAAGTCGATCTCATAGGGGGTAAAATGATAGAAACCAGAGGCTGGAGAGAGTGTCGTGCATGCGTGGGGTGGGTTGGGGAGTGAAGAGAGACTGGCTAATGGGTACAAACATACAGTTAGATAGAAGGAAAAGGTTCTAATGTTCAATAGCAGAATAGGGTGACTATAGTTAACAACAATGTATTATACATTTCAAAATAGCTAGAAGAGAAGATTTGAAATGTTCCCAATACGTAGAAATGATAAACAACATCTTAAATACCCTGACTTGATCATCACATATTCTATGCATGTAACAAAATATCATATGTACCCCATATGTACCCCAAAATATCATATGTACCCCATATATCTAATATGTATACATATTAGATATCAATAAAAAGATGTTAAAAAATTAAGAAAAAGAAAAGTTGGGGTTCACAACCAGGTTAGGCTGGCTGTGATGCCCAGGCTCTTTCTACTACAGCATCATATGCCATTAAATTCAACTTCAGGGTGTGTACTTTTATAGTCTTGTGATTAGTGGCCCATGGTGAAAAGGTAATACCCTGACATTACCTTTAATGACTTTTAAAGCCATGATATGGCTGAACAACTGTAATAAAAAAATGGGTATTAAAAAAGATGGTCAAATGATCTAGTTTATATTGAATATTGAATAATTTGCAACAGGTTAAATGACATTGAGAGGTTATTTCCATACTAGATGCAAAAGACGTGCCAGCCCTGTTCGAGCCTGTCGACCACATTCCTGGTGGGGCATATTAGCTGCATTTTTGAAATAGAGAAGTTTGAGTTTGTAAAGGACTCTCATTCCTTCATTTGTTAAATAAATTCCAATGATGTACTAGGCATTCTTGTAGGTAATATGGCTATAAATGAAATAAGACAGATGAAGCCCCTGTTCTCTTCAGTTGTGGTCTGAGGTTTGAAACAGGGGCTCATGAAATGGTCTCATGTATGTTTTAAAAAGATAGCTCTGGCTGCTAGAAGGAGAATGGGGCAGTAGTGGAGGGAGGTGGGCAAGTTGGGAGGATTTTGCAGTTGTCCTGGCAAGAAGCCAGCGGCTTGGATCACCAAGGGTGATAGGGAAGATTGAGTTCAGGATACGTTATGAAGGTAAAGCCACTGGGCTTTTGTCAACACATGGGTTGTGGGCAGTGAAAGAGAGAGACAGTTGAAGAGGATTCCCAGTTTTTTGGCCTGAGCAGCTCGATGAATGGAAATACCATTTTCTGTGTAGAGGAGCCCTGTGGGGGCAACGGGTCTGGGAAGGGATGCAGATCAAGGTTCTGTTCCGGCTACTTTACGTTTGAGGTGCCATCAGGTGGATTCCGGCGGCCATGTTGGGAAGGTGGGGGCTGTGTGAGTTTGAAGCTAAGGAAGGTCAGGCGCTTCTTGCACTTGTCTACCGCACCCCACCCTACCCCAGCTCACCTCACTCACAGGTAGATACTGGGACCAGAGCTAAGGATTCTGGCCTCTTCTGCTGGGTAGTTGGCCACGCGTCACATGGACCTGGAGGACACACAGGTGGCCTCTGGGGTGGGCTCCCCGGAGACGCGTGAGTGCCCGGTGTTCCTCACACTCCCACAGAAGCAACTCGCAGTGGCTCCCAGGGCTCCAGCAGGTGGCCCCCGCGGCCAGCTGGAAGAGGTTCTGATCTGCTGCCAACTTGTTAGGTCCTTTAACTTCCCCACCTCCACCGCCCCTGCCTACGTCTGTGGGTTATAATAACAGTAACTACTTCATAATGCTTCCACGAGCCAGGCACTGTGTTAAGCACTTTAGTGTATTGTCTCCTTAATCCTCACAGCAGTCCCATGTGGAATGCCCTTTTTACAGAAAGCACACTGAGGCACTGGGTGAGTACGGAGCAGGTGACCACCAGGCTGGCCTGCCTGTCCTGGTCCTGCTGGAGCTCTCCTCCTCATCCCCACTCCTGCTGCCCCTCCTCGGCCCCCTCCCCTCCGTGCTAAGCCTGGCACAGGCGATGGGTTCCTGCTTAGTCCTCAGGCCTGATTTTTCTCCTCCCACACCTGTGGAGCTGAGGGAGCGCCAGCCCGGCCCTCTGCTGTGGGGTCTTCAGCCACATCCTATTTACAAAAGGCGAGGCCCCCTTCTCACTTGACCTCTGAAGCACCCCAAGCAATCCCCAGAGCGGTTACTGACCAGGGTGTGACAAAGGAAGTTCCAGTCACGGGTAGAGAAAGCTTTTGTTTCTTTGCACTGGGTAGAGCATGGGACCTGGATTAGGGCAAAAGCTGCCCAATAGATCCACTTATTTCTGTTATGTTTGACTCCTTTGGGGTCATCTAGCATTGTTTAAACATTTTCTTCATATATCCTTGTATACTTTTTGTTAAGCTTATTGCTGGATATTTTATAATTTTTTTTTTGTTGTTGCTACTTAAATAAGAAAGTATACTTATATAATTTTTATTTAAGTAGCACTACATCTGCCAACTTGTCGTTATTTATAGATATGAAAACTACAGATTTTATATATTTACTTTGTATCCAACTAAGGTACCAAACTCCCTATTGTTGGCAGTGAATTTTCAGCTGATTTTCTTGAGTTTTACAGATACAGAGTAGTATCGTCAAATAATGATAATTTTAGATTCTCCTGCTTAAATTTTTTATACTTTTAATTTCTTACTCTCTTCTGACTGTCTTGGCTGGTACCTCTGAGATAGCTTTAACCCTTTGCACTCGGATGTTGAGTGTGGATAATGTCGAGTGGATAATGAGAAAAAAGCAAGCGAGTGCAAAGAGTTAAATAATAGCGGTGATAGGAGCATACCTGCTTTTCCTTGACTGTAGTGGGACTGCCTCTCATGCTTCTCTATTTAACTCTGCTATAGGGATGAAATGTAATAGATATATCATGTTGAGAAATATCCATATATTTCTACTTTACTGTGTGTTTTTATCAAGATGGCTTATTTGATTTTGTCAAATGCCATTTTTGTGTTTATGAACGTGATTATATGATTTTCTCTTTAGCGCTATTAATAAGATAAATTATATGAATAGTTTTCTTGATATTGAATCATCTGACATTCCAGGAATAGTCCCCACTTAGTCCTGATATATTAGTTTTAAATGAGCTGTTGAATTGATATCCATGCATGAGATTGATTTATGGTTGGTTTGTTTTATACAAGCTTTGACAGATTTTGTTATCATTATCATACTGGCTTCATAAAAGGAATTTGAAAAACTTTCTCCTTTCTCCATTCTGAAACAGTTTGCATTAGAATTCTGTCCTTTGAGAGTCTGATAGAATTCTTCTATGGAAGTTTTTGATGCCGTTTTTGGGGGTCAAGTCTTTGGCAACTTTTCTTTTTCCTGTAGAATAAGTACATCTTGATTTTCTCTTTCTTCTGGGTTAATTTTATTAAGTTATATTTTCCTGGAAAGTTGTCCATTTCATTCATGTTAATAGGTTGTAATTCTCTTAATTTCCCCTGTATCTAGGGTTATTGTCCTTCTGTAATTTATTATACTGTGCCTATGTGCTTTTGTTCTTTCTTTCCTCTCTGGGCTAGTTAGTGGTTCATTGCATGTTGGGTTCCCAGGGGAGAGGACTCTGAGGCAGAGTTGAGTGTTCTTCCAGCACATTAGGGAATGTGCTGGAACAAATACTTGTAAAAGGGAGGGGAAGGAAGCAGGAGAGGGCAGAGGGAGAAGTCTCACTGTGATCAAGTTCCAGTGACAACCTCTGGTCACTTCCTGGGCAGCTCTGGAGCTAGAATGTCTCTTCAAGATTCTTCCCCATCAGGCAGGGATGGCCAGGCCTCTCCTCCTGCTTTGACCAGGTAGTGCATGAGCCCAGGAAGTAGAGTGATTTGAGTGAGGGGCTGGCTATATGCAGTGTGGTGTAGGGGAGAAGAATGGCTTCCCTCCACCCTTATAGGTTCCTTGGCTCCAAATTAAATTGACATAAGACAGATCAACAGGAGAAAAACCATATGTAATTTCATATGTAGGCGTGGGAGTCCCACAAGATACGAGACTCCATGAAGGTTCAGATGACTGAAGCTTGTACAGCATCAGGAGCTGCAGAAAGGAATAGGGGCTTGGGGCTTTGGGCAGGTAATGAGGTGAGGGGAGGAAATATGTGGTGTATAAAGGTTGTCTTATTATGCAGATAAAGTTTCTCAGATAATAAAAGTTGTCTCAGAAGAATAGTGAGAGTCTGTCTGGGCTGGTGCTGACCTGCAAGTCTCCCCTCCTGTAATCCCAGTTAATCTTCCCTGGTTGATGTAAAGCTATATTTTTAATTTATAGCATATACAGTTTAATGCATATCAATTCAAATGTACCTTATTAATTATTTAGCTATTCTATATTCTACTTATTCTTTATTCCACTTAATTCTTTTTAGCCTAAATTCTAGCTTACCTGGTATTTAAGATGATCTCTGCTTTTTTTGTTTGTTTCCATTTCCAACCTTACTATATAGGCTTTAATTATTTTTTTTTCAGGTATGTGTTTTGATTGTAGCATAGAAGCAGATTTTGCTTGTGATCCAATCTGAAAATCTTTCTAATAAGTGAATGAAGCCATTTATATTACTGATTTGATGAATGTTTGGTTTTAGTTTTGGCATTTGAATTTAGGTTTTCTGTATTTAGAGAAGTCTGTTTACTGCATGGTCTTTTTTCCTTTGTGTTGGTTCTCTATGTGGTACTTCTGATATTTAGAAAAGTATCTCTTTTTGTTTTTTTAACAAAAATAATTTATAATTATAATTTCATTTAATATTCTTAGTTGTTTAGAAAATACTTGTTAATTTCTTAACAGGGGAAGTGATAAAGTGAGCATCACTTTACTTCCTGCCCCCTTCTTCTCCATGACTTGATTTTTTGTCAATGTCATCTTTCTTAATTCTTTTTAGCTGTTTTTTATGCTTACACTTCTATTACTTGTTAATTTAAGTTTTAAATGCTGTCTTTGGATCACATTTTTACAGATAAAGCCATCTGTGAACTTAATCTACCCCCTTACCACTTTCCCCCTTTCTGTCTCTTTCTTTCTTGTATAATTTTTACACTGTCAGGAATAATTACATTTAATATTCTATCCTGTAGCATTTTCCATGACACGAAGTGTGACATTTCTATACACAAATTTAAAATTCAGGAATGATCTCTAGAATTTTACCTTTAAATGTTCTCCTGTTTCATTGATTTTCTTGATTAAAAGTATTTTGGGTTTCTTTCATCTGTTCTCTATGTCTATCACTGTTTAATTCCTTTTAGTTACACTTTTGTTCCTATTTATATCCTTTGTTTTTATTTATATCCTCTGTGTCCTTTATTGTGTTTTTCTGAAATGCCTATACTTGCTGTGCTCCTTCCAAATTTTGCTTTTTTTTTTTTTTGCCTTCTAATATTTCCCAAGTTTTACCAGCTCAAAATGTATCTCCTCCTGAAGTCTTGCCACCTCTTCCTTGATTCCTTACATTTGTGCTTGTGGCTTTTCCTTTATATTAATATAAGCAATTACTTCACTAGGTTTGGAAACCCAACATGAGTGACAGCAAAGATCTCAATCAAGGTTTATTAAGCCAGCTTTAGGACGTGCCTGGGAAAAAACACAAGCCACAGACACATGACTGTGACTATTTTTTCTGAAGAGGCTTTCAGGAGGCTTAGTATTTATACATTTCCTTAAAAGGTGGGTAGGCAGGAATGTAGGAAGAGGGGCAGGTAGTTGGTAAAACAAATTGTTGCATACTTATGGGACTTTAGTTAACACCCAGGAAATCTACATTTTACATAAGGTGAATGTTTGAAGAGAAAAAGGGAGTGAAGGAAGCATCAATTATGCAGGTGTCTTTGAGTGGGTTGAGGAATGATTGATCTCCTCTTGTCTCTGTTCTGCACCTGGGAAGATAAGCTTGGGATCAATATATCAGTGTGGAATGGAAGAGACTTCAGTTTTAGGAGCTAGCTGATTGGCATGTCCTTGTTTATGGGAGGTCAGCAAAGAATTTCCTTAAGAATGATCTGTAGGGGCAGTCCTTCATAGATGCCTGAGGCTTTTTACCTTTCTGTGGGGATCTGGCTAACACATAATCTTAGTAACAGCTATTCATTTGGAAGGGGATGTTGCACAACTCAGCCTCCAGGCTTGACCTTCCTTCTTAAGAAGTTGGGAAGGGTCCCGAGATTTTTATTTTTCTTTACAGTTTATTTTAATCCTTAGCAAACTATTTGCTCTTGCTGATGATTTCCATCTATCTCATTGTGACATTTTTCTAATCGTGATTTTTATCTATTGGTGAGTTTTTCTGCTCTTTTTTTTCTTATGGTCTCTTTGTATCACTATTGTGTTTATTTCTTTATTATTACTCACTTTTGAGTGAGATGCATTTTTGTGGAAGCTGTTTGCAGGAGATTCCTTTGGGACAGAACAGCAAGAAACTTTTGAGGCTTTATAATCCAAAGGCTCTCTACTACCTGCAAATATGGCTCATTTGGCTAAATCTTTGTATCATCCATCTCCATTGCCTCTTTGACCAAACAAGACCTAGGAGGTCATACTCACCCTGCTCATCTCAATTTCCAGGCTTATATTGTAAATAAGAGACAGAGTTTTGCACTTTGCATGAGCCCCTCTCTAGCAGGAAGAGCGTTTGATGGCACTTTTTTTTAGATCTGATGCCACTGAACTCTCTTTCAAATCTCTATATTTCTTATCTTTACTGCTTTGGGGCACCTTTTAGCATATTTTGATGCCTGCAAATTATATTTGTCTCCTAGTATAGCTGAAATTGAGTTTGTGGGTATTTGTTTCATTCTTTTTATTGCTTCTGTATAATTTCCAGGAGAAGGGGAAAGATGTTGATTTG